ATTGACACTTTGTCTCCTAATTTAAAAGTTGGTCGAGTATAAACTTTGTCTCCTAATTTAAAAGTTGATCGAGTTAGTCTTGTTCAATTAATTAACAAGAAAGGTGGTTGAAAATAAAACTTTCCAACAGCTTACCAGTCTAGCAGTCGGTTACCAGATGATAGTAATGATTCTAAACCCACACCAAACTAACTCCCTTCTGTTAAGCTTGTGTGTGTATTTTGAAAGAGGGAGCCGTTCATTTCACCGATTCGAGTTTTACTACAGTAAAAAGTTTTCATATAAAATCACATCTCAACTCAAATTAAAAACTCGAATTAGCGAACTAAACGAGACTGTTTCGATTGTTTCGTTAGTTCGAATCATAACTCAAATTTTTTGTTATAATATTTTGTCTTACATAAATTCATTTTTTAATTTAAATTTTTAACTCGAACAAGCAAAATGAATAAAGCCTAAGTCCAGTTCATTTTGCATTTATGATGATGAGAAAGGGATGCTGAGTCAAGTTCATTTTGCATGTCTGACGAGAGAGGGATGCTGAGTCTTGTTGATAGAGACACTAAAGTTTTATCATGGCAGCAAATCCTGTCTCCTTTTTTCACTGATGTAATATTATCTAATAGATTGAGTTTCTCGGCCGGTTTTTTTTGATAAAACGAAACAATTCTAATTTAATCAACTTTCTTTTAAAGGAAAAGGGGATTTCATTCAACTCAAACCAAAGATCACATGTGGATGACTCAGTAATACAAGGTATAAACTTTAAAGGAGACCAGCTCTATTAATACAATCTAATTATGCACAATGGGTATAATGTACGTTAGAAGCTCAATAAACCTGAAGCATCTCAACACACTCAGAAACGTGCACACATGACGCTCTACAATTAAGATTACAAAGACAAAAAAAGACACTCAATTAATTAATGGTCACGACAACGCAACAGTACAGAAGCCACTAATTATAACAAACAAAAAATGCCACAAAGTGCGAATTCTTGCAGATTGGACACGGTAGAAGATGAGGAAACCATCTTCGTTATTACAGCCATAAAACAAACACCATTATTGAAAACAAAAACAATGAGAGGCGTCAGCCTCTTGCGAAACCCAATGGACAACACTTTAATCACCAAAGTCAGAGGGTGGAATAGTCAGAAATGTCAGAGTCTAAATCGCATGGGAAAGAGGAAGAAACACAAAAACGAGCAGCCACCACCACCCCAACTGGGCCATCGCCATCAGATCGGCCAATAATACCCATTCCCTCGGCAACCGCAACACCCCCAACATCCATCAACCCACCCTATGAGACCGCAAAACCCCTATGAAAGACCCCAAAAATCATAGCACCACCATCAAAGACGTTGGCTCGCCCGAAAGTAGGGAGCCAACGAGAGGCCGCACGCTCTTCCAACACACCAATAAACAATAATACAAGGTTCCTAGTGCTCATT